TGCTAGCGTTACATAGACAAAGTTCTCCTTAGTGTGTGTGCTGTATAATAAGACAATTTTCTGTATGTCTCTTTAAGCTGGGGTTTCAGGGGATTCTTTCAATGTGTTGTTTTGTTCCATTTTTTATAATTCAAGTGCACCTATTACCACTGGTATTATTCTTGTTTTCAATTTCCACATTTTTTCTATTTCAATTTCCAGTCTTTTTTTTTGATAGTTTTTTCAAATTCCTTGGTTGCTATGTTACAATCCGCTGGACAAGCCATATCAATTAGTAGGCAAGTTTTTTCTTTCTGGTTTTGACAATAATGTCCGGCCTATTTGCTTCAATTTTTCTGTCTGTGTGGATGGTTTCCCATAGAATGGTGACATCTTCTATTTCTGTAACCCGCTGGCCGATGTTTCATACCAGTGTTTGCTTACACATTTTTTCAAAGTGTTTGCACATTGTCTTGTAAGTATTGCCCCACTCTATCGTTGACGATTTTTTATTCATTTGGGGCAAGTATAGAACATCCTGAGATTAGATGGTCTATTGTTTCTTTTGTCTTGTCACAGAACCTGCATTTTGGATCCACATTATTATGTATGATATTTGCCTGAAAATTCCTAGTGAAAAGACTCTGGTCTTGCTGCAAGAATAAAGCCTTCATTTCAGACTTTAATCCAGATGCTCGTAACCATCGATGAGTATTAACTTTATCAACATTGGGTTTATTTGCACGTTCTGGATATTGGCCATGCAGAGGTTTGTCTTGCCAGCGTTGTTTCATCTGTTCAAGGGCTTTATCCTTGGCTTTCTTTTTGTTATCTTTTGCTGCAATAGTTGGTTCTTGGCTTCTGTTTTGATTTACTACAGAATCTACTAAATGTAAATGTTGTTTGTATTTACTGCCTTCTTTTATTATTGAATATTTTTTTTTTTTTTTTCATGTTGTTTCACTAATTTTATCATCCAGTCATTTGTTGTTTCCATTAAGTTAGTAAGCCAATAGTTGTTGTCTTGTATGACAATTCTAGCTGAATAAGACCTCTTCCACCTTCTTTTACGGGGTATGTATAGACGGTCTACATCAGCCTTTGGATGATGCATCTTATACTTAGAAAGAAGCTTTCTTGTTTTTTGAATCCATTTGTCTGATGTCATTTAGAGTCCAGTTCAAGATGTTGAAACTATATTGGACCACTGGGATGGCAAGGTTATTAATGGCCATAATTCTGTTCTGAGAATTCAATTCAGTTTTAATACCAGTCGTACCCTTCTATAGTACTCTTTACGCACTATTTCTTTCATTTTCTTATGGTGAATTCCTTCACTCTCATTTACACCCTAGGTACTTATAAGCTTCTCCTTGTTCTAAATCTTTTTATTGTTGCAGCAGGGTCTAAACTAATAGAGGAAGTTTGTTGTAGCGATCCTCGTAAAACTGTAGCTTTAGCACATTTATCCAAATTGAATTTCATTCCAATGTCTTCACTGAAGCATTTTACAGTTTGCAGAAGACCTTCCAGCTCATTGTCATTCCTAGCATACAATTTTAAGTCATCCATGTAAAATAGATGGTTTATTTTCTTTTGAGCTATTTTGTAACATTCTGTCTTGTTAAGTTGGCTGGTTAATGCTATAAGTGATATGCAAAATAATAAAGGAGACAAGAGTCACCTTGAAATATTCTCTATTGATGTTTATTTCGCCAGACTTATAGGTTCCATTTTATGATTGAGGTAAAGTGTAGTTTTCCATATCGACATACATTGTTTGATGAAATTGATGATAACGGGTGATACCTTGTACATACTTAAAGACTTTAAAATCAGGAATGTGGTACACTATCAATACTTTTACGATAATCTATCCAGGCAATACTAAGATTTTTTTCCACGGAAGCAGTTTTCCAGGATCATCCTATTAATAAGTAATTGGTCTTTATCCATTTTTTGCACCTTTTGTTCAAGTGGTAGAATGTCATTTCTTTCCAAGAAGAAATATGTCTTTTTGTTAAAATAGATGTTAACAGTTTGTATGTTGTTGGAAGACATGTAATTGGTCTATAGTTTTTTTTCGGAATATTTGTGTCACTATTTTTGGGTCAAAATAACTCCTTTGGTCATCCATGCAGATTTAGTTGGATCGGTAACCATTTCTTGAAGTTCTTTGGCGAGTTTTTGTGTGCTGTATTTAAATAATATAGCCAAACAATTTTATCTATTCCTGGAGATTTCCAGTTGTGCTTTTTCAGTGCACATTTAACATCTTCTTTGATTCCCGCCCATGTCTGTTCTGGTTTATTTTTTCATTCGTTCTAACTCTTGCGCAATCAATCTACCTCTTCGTTGTGTTCTTTAGGGCAAATATTTTCCCCCAGAACTGTATAACTTCTTCCATTTTAGGGGACTGTCCTTCAATTTTTTGTTTACCTATTTCCCTGTAAAATTTCTTTGCATCGGTTTGAAAATCTTGTTCTGTCTATAGAATCTTGATCTTTTCTCGTAGCGTCTTATTCTTTGAGCCTTCAGTTGTATTGTTTGCTTTATTTTTTCTTTTTAGTTGATAGGACTTCATTTCATTCCTGATATTGTCATTTTTCTTTCGACTCTTCTGCCTTTTCTAGTTCTTACATTTACCTCTTGCTAGTTCATCAGTACTGATAATTCACTTCTAAGGTGTTCAATTTCTTTTCTATTTTTCTTTTCCAAGGTGGATCTTTATGTCTGTGAGACTGCCTTTTTTACTTTGATGTTCAGTTTATTTGTTGCTGCTATTGCTGATGCATATATTGCTTCATTGAGATTTATATGAGTGTCTTCTTCATCCAGAATCAATTTGAGTGCTGCATTATAGAGAGCTTAATAGTTTTGAGGTTATGCTTTGTTGGTTGTAATTTTGGGAGTTGTTCTCGTTTCCTCCATTGCAATATTCTGTATCTGAATATGGATCATGATTTCATCCTTGACTTCTTGTATATTAATCTTGTTTTCTGTGAAATAATTCTGTTCGATGAATTTTGAACTCGTTTTATTACCGTCTTGTGACTGACTAAGATCATACCTTTCCAACATTTCTAAATTTTCAGCATTATCTTCACAGTGATTTGTGTTTTCGTTTTTTCATTATGACCTGAGGCTTTGTGTGATGTTTACTACTTTTTTTCCTGATTCCGGTTCCTTTTCATGTTTTGTTGGTTCATCTATTCTTGTTGCAATTCTTTTATTTCATTAATTTCAGCCTCTGTCAATCGGTTATTTCGCATGATGTCCCTTCTTACATTGGCTTTTTATTTTTGTCTATGTACTTTCTAATTGTTTGTCCCAACCTTCTCTCGCCAAATGTCATATGTTTGGCGAGTGATGTTTTGAGTTTGAGTAACGTTCATGGAATGCAGTCATGACAACTTTGTCTCCTCACGAGACCATTTTATTTTTTCTTTCCTTAAATTTACGGTTATGGATCTAGCTGGAGAATTTACAGGACCATCATTAGGATTATCCTGGTTGTGGGGACCTGAAGATTCATTCTTTGTTAGGAGTTTGTTCCTATGGCAGATTTTTCGACCTCAGGTAGGTTCCTCCTGAAGGACGGGCTCCCTGTTTATCCACTGGAAGAGCCATACTGGACGTTTTGTTTTTATTTTTTAATTTTCATATTAATCCCACGGTGACGCACGGGTCCAAAAGTCACCCAAAGTTGCCCGGCACGTTGAGTAACGGTCTTTTACAGACAGGGTTCAAGCCTGTATGGGATCGTTCGTAACCTCATAACGCAGTACCATTCACTCCTCGGCAATGATTAAATTGAGTTGCGGGTTTGTTGTTCGGAAAATTTCCTTCTCTAAATGGGTTGCAAGAAACAATAGACAGAACAGATTGGAAATCAAAGAGAATGACGCTGGTTAAAAAAAAAAAAAAAAAAGTTTACATTCGTTTGTCTTTGCTGTGAAATTTAAAAATAATTTATTGGCCCATCTGTAAATTCCATGATATTCCTTCTTAGAAAGATTGCATTTTCTTTTCATAAATTCATAAAATGTAATATGTAAAATGTAAATTCCGTTATTTTTTAAAGTCGTTGAAAATAGCGTTGTTTTTAAAAAAAAAAAAAAAAAAAAAAATGCAATCCTTCAAGAAAGAACATCGTAGAAATTGTATTGTTTTTTTACCTGTAATGTTTTTTTGCGGGGTGGATATTGAAAACTAAGGGATATGTGAATGAGAAAAATTAAATAATTGATTAATCTATCAGTATTATTTAAAGGAGAACCAAATAAATTAAATAATAATAATACGAAGAAAATTCATGCTTACGCTAAAATAGTAAAAATAACAAAATTTCATATGCGTTAAAAAAACTTGGAAAACAGCCGCTCAACGAAACAAAACATCACTACACTAGAAGTATTTATATTAAATTTTTTTTTTTTTTTTTTTCGCCATCACTAGTCCTAGTAACAAAAATAATTGTCATAAAAAAAAATTAAAAGTTTACATTCGTTTATCTTTGCTGTGAAATTTAAGAATAATTTATTGGCCCATCTAAAATCCTGTTATTTTTCAAAGTCGTTGAAAATAGCGCTGTTGAAAAAAATACGCAATCTTCTAAGAAAGAATATCGTAGAAATTGTATTGTTTTTACCTGTCATGTTTTTTTTTTTTTGGGGGATATTGAAAACTGAGGGATATATGAATAAGAAAATTAAATAATTGATTAATCTATCAGTATCATTTAAAGGAGAAACAAATAAATTAAATAATAATAATACGAAGGAAAATTCATGCTTACGTTAAAATAGTAAAAATAACAAAATTTCATATGCGTAAAAAAAAAAACGTTACGTTTGGAAGAGCTTCTTAAAACACGTCATTCTCGTTGTAATCCCAACCGTCCGTCCGTTATTATTATTATTATTATTATTATTATTATTATTATTGTCGTTGTTGTTGTTGTTGTTTTTTTTATTATTATTTGTAAAATATAGAGGGTGCGACAAAAATATTTCTTGCAGTTTCTTGATGTTTATCCCCGTTCTTCTTCTTCTTCTTCTTTTCTTCTTCTTCTTCTTCTTCTTCTTCTTCTTCTTCTTCTTTATTATTATTATTTGCAAAATATACAGGGTGCCACAAAATACGTCCAGCGTATACCTCCAAGAAATACCTCCCACATAATGGTACATGCTAGTTAGAAAAAGACATAATTGCCACGAATATCTTACCATTATGTTGGGGGTATTTCTGGGAGGTATACATGGGGGAGGGTATTTCTGTCGCACCCTGTAAGCTGCCGGGCTACTCATTTACGTGTCCAGTCGTCAACCTGGGTGGTTAGCGAATACCTCTCTCAGGTCTGTGTAGCATAGCTAACTAAACAAGGAATTATGAAAATGTAAATTTAAAGAAAAAATATTCCTAAAGAATTCTACCAATTCTACGAGTTTAATTCCATTAAAATATATTTTCGATTTCGGGAGAACCAGGAGACTTGAGTACTAATTCTTGAGCAAAATTAAAGCAATCAAATTCCTGGTCAAAATCCTTAGTTGTAATCATGAAATTATTGTTGCATTAGATTACAAACAATTCTTGACTTGAGTCAGCCAGAAAACGTGACTAAAAATAAGATATTTTTATAATCTTTTCCTCATTGGGGTTAAACCTTATCACCGCCTTCTTGGAAAATGAGAGACTATATGAGATAGGGTAAATAGCAACTAGTATTTACACTATTTACATTGTTCAGACGTGTCCTCATCTTAATTGTCATATTCACAAAGTTTTGGTCGTTGTACACTCCGGCCTTCTTCAGGTGATATGTTGGAATTTCAAACTAAACTCTTTATTTCATCCACCGGAGTAGATAGTTCTAGATCCGCGTGCCATGCCTCTTCTGGATATCTCAGTTTCAGTTATTTCCCTTTAATAACTCAACTTTCCAAGTTTGTGTTCACCTCTGCTGTGTCCAGGTATTGAACTCACACCTCTTTTGGTAAACGACCGAAACCTCGTGAATATGATGATGACAACAGTCTGAACAATGTAAATAGTGTAAATAGTTACAATACCTCATCTCAGAAATAGAGACAGATGTTGAAGGTGAATATGGCAATAAAGATGAGGACAACAGTCCGAACAATGTAAATAGTGTAAATAGTTACAATACCTCATCTCAGAAATAGAGACAGACGTTGAAGGTGAATATAAAGATGATGACAACAGTCCGAACAATGTAAATAGTGTAAATAGACAACAATACCTCCTCTCAGAAATAGAGACAGATGTTGAAGGTGAATATGGCAATAAAGATGAGGGACAACAGTCCAACAATGGAAATCTCAGAATCATCAGAAACAGAGACAGATGTTGAAGATGAATATGACAATAAAGATGAGGACAACAGTCTGAACAATGTAAATAGTGTAAATAGTGTAAATAGTTACAATAACTCATCTCAGAAATAGAGACAGTTGTTGAAGGTGAATATGGCAATAAAGATGAGGACAACAGTCTGATCAATGTAAATAGTGTAAATAGTTACAATACCTCATCTCAGAAATAGAGATGTTGAAGATGTTGAAGATGAGAATATCCAAACAATGTAAAGATGTTACAATAGTCCGAACAATGTTGAAATAGTATGAAACAACAGTCCTAACAATGTAAATAGTGTAAATAGTTACATCTCATCTCAGAAATAGAGACAGATGTTGAAGGTGAATATGGCAATAAAGATGAGGACAACAGTCCGAACAATGTAAATAGTGTAAATAGTTACAATACCTCATCTCAGAAATAGAGACAGATGTTGAAGGTGAATATGGCAATAAAGATGAGGACAACAGTCTGAACAATGTAAATAGTGTAATTAGTTACAATACCTCATCTCAGAAATAGAGACAGATGTTGAAGGTGAATATGGCAATAAAGATGTGGACAGTCCGAACAATGTAAATAGTATAAATAGTTACAATACCTCATCTCAGAAATAGAGACAGATGTTGAAGGTGAATATGGCAATAAAGATGAGGACAACAGTCCGAACAATGTAAATAGTGTAAATAGTTACAATACCTCATCTCAGAAATAGAGACTGATGCTGAAGGTGAATATGGCAATAAATATTAAGACAACAGTCCAAACAATGTAAATAGTGTAAATAGTTACAATACCTCATCTGAGAAACATAGACTGAAACATATAGTATGAATTAAATTGTAAGATAAGGTATTATAAACTTTAGACGCTAAAGAACAGCAACAATCAAAAGTTTAAAAAATAAACTTAGTTTTTATTTCTGTTAAAACTGAAAAAAGACATCACACTATTCTTGTAAAAGTAAAAAGCATTCATTTGAGTAACAGTCAAAATAAATACTCATTCAGGCTTGACATATTTACGCTTAGTAGCCAAAAGACAGACATATTTATGCTCAGTTGCTGGCGTGAAAATAATTTTTACTGGCAAATCAACGACGCCATTTTTTCTATGAAATCTTGAGACAAAACAAGAAAACAATAAATTCTCTATGTTTTAGTGTTTTCAAAACAAACAGGCTTTTGGCTTATTCTAAAAGAACTTCTTACAAAACAAAAAAAAAATGTCTCTACATTGCATAGGCATTACTGGCTGTCCAAGACTAGATTGGCAACTAGGTCTCTAGCTGGATACTGGATCCATCGGTAAAAGAACAGTTCCGTCTTTTTGGCGCTTATTTGCTGCATAGTCCACCATTACCCGTTGTAATAACGTTTAATTCAAATAACTTGAATTTGGCATAATTATAGTATGAACTACAGGTTGGCTCCTTTGGGCGTTGAAGAAATATAAATATGCCTGAGCAGGCGTCTGTAAACGGGATTGACTTGCCACCCTATAAGAACGCTGTGCTGTATATTAGAAAATCAACATAGAAGCAAACAACAGGTGAGGTAAATGCTGGCAAATGTATGTGTGTGTGTGTGTGTGTGCGCGTGCGCACCTGGTTATGTGTGCCGAAAGAAATGACAAAAACCGCAACTTCAAACGGCAAACAAAGCTCATAATTTAAATTTACTCCAAGAATATATATATATAAAATATATCTTTAGAGTTACTCCTTTTCCAAAACAACGTACGTAACTATAAAAATGTAAATGCTAAAATACAGAACCTCATAACATTTAAGATATATAATACATAAATTTCACCCAAACTAAAATAAAATAATCAGAATGTTAATTAAATTAATAAAAATCAACATCATTTACTCAATTTCGTTTCATAGACATTAAATTACGTCACTTAGCATCCTCCATAACTTACTAGGACTTTTCAGTGAGCCTGATAAATAATTTATAAGCGTCTCTTAAATTTAAAAATTTTGTAAAAACCAACAACATTTTTAATTTTATTTATAAATACTTGTTGAAAAATAAAATTTGTTATCAAAAGACGAAACGCTTCGCTTAAGATACGTTTTTCTTTTGTCTATATTCATATACTAGCAGTAAAGCCCGGCGTTGCCCAGGAATAAACTTCCTCTGAATGGAAGGTCATAATCGCCATACTCATTTTATACCCGCAGGTAAGTGTGAAGTCTAGTAGAACTGATGGCCGTCCACGTAAAAAAATGCAATGTAAACAAGCTGTCGGTATTCATCAGCACAGCGGAAGAAAAAAATGTAAGGCTTAAAAGGAAGCAATGGACAGCCATGATAGCACCTTCAATTAAAATTTGTCAAGTTCAATAGGAACACGGGCCTTAGGAAGTTTTTAGTGAGTTATGGCAGATGGCTTTGTATTCCGATGGGATGGTTTTATTATCCCTGAGTGCAAGACATTACATGAAGCTCTGTGTCAGTTGCAACGTAGTAAAACGCAATAGCGTGAAAGGTAGACACGTCTTTTGCCCAAAAGACGGGTCTGCCACTACTGCAAACAGAATCACATAACAGAAGTATGGGAAGGTGCCGGGGCGAGTACTTGTAAGTGGCACAATTTTTTTTGTAGTTTTTAATAGCCAGTTGAGGCGAGCATGAAGCGCATGTAGCGTTATCTAAAGCAGACCTTATGGTAAGGGGAGAAACACTCCACTTCGCTGACAATTAAACGAATCCACATTCCCACGTATTGTGTTGTGTTGTGTTGTGAATATGGTCACGTGGTCGACATGTAAGTGCGAATGCAGCTATAGTGGGGTTTAAGTGATAAGGGAGCATCTGGCGAGCAAGACAACCTTTAATGAAATGTCTTAGTAATGGCAACGACGACCTTTAAATAAACCAGGTTCAAAAATGAAGGAACTTACGATGCAGCTGACATAAAGATGTGTACATTGCGTTTAAACGTGACCGACCATGGGCTATATGACTTCTGCGTAGGTAATATTTTTAGCTTTGTTTGTTGGGGAGTAAACGTAAACGTTATCCTTACTCCCGATTTGGGAGCAGCCTACATAAAGCTGTTCATGGGCAAAACACTGTTCATCTAAATGTAGGCCCTCGACGCTGAGCATCTGTCCTTGCGATTTGGTCATTGTTGTTGAGCCGTGCTCGTCATACCCCAGGGCTTTCTGAAGCTCTGGCAGACGTGGTATCTGGAATTTCTTAAACGACGATTAGCGGTCTGCGCAGGACTTTCTAAAGCAGGAGCGCTGGCATTTCTTAAACGAGGAATCGAGGTTTGTTGAGGTTGTTTCGAAACGCTGGCAGATGCTGTAGCCCTATCATTCCTAAGACGTCGCGAAGTGGTTTGTTCAGGGCTTTCTAAGGCTCTAGAACATGCTGTAGCGCTGGCATTCCTTAAAAGTCGAAAGATTATCTGTGTTGGGGACTCGGAAGCACTGGCCCTAGAAACGTGAATTGGGTCCTGTGAATTCTATACTAAACGCTCTTCTGTTGAAAGTCTAGTGCCGAGATGACATAGCTGATGCTTCTAATGCCAGTCTTTCAGTCCGTTCAGCGGTACTTTCCGAGGAGATGCGGGCAGCAGAGTGTGAGGCCATCTGAGAAAGGCGCAACGAAGTTTGCTCTGTGGTTTCACTTGCCCTTGCTGCTCTTGTACTCTTCAACTCTTAGGCGGCATTTTAACAAATTTAAAAAGGCAAGCGTAATCTGCAGTTTATTGTTGACTATCACATCTATTACCTATTGTGGTGAAGGCCTAACCAAGAGCACTTTCTACGCTAGTATATATATATATATATATATAT